AAATTAATAAAAAAAAAATTGACTCTTGTTTTGAGTTATTTATATATTCATCAAATTTTACTTAGTCATCTTTTACTCAAGAATTATTAAGAAATATATTTAATATACAAATCTATAAGCTATGAGACCCATTTTTTAAAATATATTACATACAAAACATAATTTTCATTAAAAGAAAAATTATAGTGCATTTTTTAGGAAAAAAAGACAAAATATAGGTTTTGCTAAAATGTTGACAACTTTTTGATTGTTCAAAGAATTTTTGTCATGTTTGACTATGAATTGTATAAGTTGATGAAGTATTTTATTTAAATAAATTTTAAATCTTTTATAACAAGGATTTTTTTTTTCCTTCATACTGTGTAAAGATTTGGTCAAATTTTTGCATAAAATGAAAAAAAATAATTCTCCAATAATGTTTCAATTATTTTTATAACTAAGAAAATAAAATATACAAAAAATATCTTATGATAGCTGAGTCAAAGATGAACAAGTTAATATATTTAACTGATCAGATCAGAGCTATTTCAGATCAGTTAATTAATTATTTTAAAAAATCACATTAAGATTTTTAAGAAATGTGAAAAAAACGTCAGACTGCAGAGAGTTAAGAAATGGCGTCAGTAGGCCGTCGAGCTTGCGCTCTTCATGCCCTCCCCAAAACGCCCCTCCCCAACCCGGTATCGGGCCGCGGAGCGGCACGTCGGGGATGTCCCTTTGTCAGGATGGCCCCCACCCGAGTCTGCTCGACTAGGTCCCCGCCGGGGGCCTTCCTAACCCATAGACACCCGGTCGGTCCGACACTGTTTGCACACAGTGCACACGATCGACTTTCTCAGGAGTCGGGATGGAAAAATTTACGTCCTAATATCTTCCCCCACCCATCCCGGGGAAGCGTTAGACGCCCTATAAGAGGGATTCTACAGTGGGCTTCCACAACGCAACTAATTAGCGATGCAGCTTGGAGGAAACGGTTGACTTGGAGCAGCTTCTCAGGGCTGCATATTAAGAACCTTCGCCTTTACACTACTCAGTGACCTCTCTGAAAACACAGTTCATCTAGTGTAGATCACTACTCGTAACCTCTCTGATGTCACATTTCACTCATTGTAGTACACTACTCAGTAAATTACATCATTACTTTTGTGTCTAGGCCATACGTGTGGCCCTGTGTTTGTAATGAATGATTGGCTGGGTCTGGCGTGGCCCTGTGTTGGTAAATATTTGTAATGATTGGCTTGGTCTGGCATTGTCGTGTGTTTGTAAATATTTGTAATGATTGGCTGGGTCTGGCATTGTCGTGTGTTTGTAAATATTTGTAATGATTGGCTGGGTCTGGCAATGTCGTGTGTTTGTAAATATTTGTAATGATGGCTGGGTCTGGCATTGTCGTGTGTTTGTAAATATTTGTAATGATTGGCTGGGTCTGGCATTGTCGTGTGTTTGTAAATAGTTGTAATGATTGGCTGGGTCTGGCATTGTCGTGTGTTTGTAAATATTTGTAATGATTGGCTGGGTCTGGCATTGGCGTGTGTTTGTAAATAGTTGTAATGATTGGCTGGGTCTGGCGTGGCCCTGTGTGTGTAAATAGTTGTAATGATTGGCTGGGTCTGGTGCTGGGGCTGGCATTGTCGTGTGTTTGTAAATATTTGTAATGTTTGGCTGGGTCGGGCATTGTCGTGTGTTTGTAAATAGTTGTAATGATTGGCTGGGTCTGGCATTGTCGTGTGTTTGTAAATATTTGTAATGATTGGCTGGGTCTGGCATTGTCGTGTGTTTGTAAATAGTTGTAATGATTGGCTGGGTCTGGCGTGGCCCTGTGTGTGTAAATAGTTGTAATGATTGGCTGGGTCTGGCGTGGCCCTGTGTTTGCAAATATTTGTAATGATTGGCTGGGTCTGGCGTGGCCCTGTGTGTGTAAATAGTTGTAATGATTGGCTGGGTCTGGCGTGGCCCTGTGTTTGTTAATAGTTGTAATGATTGGCTGGGTCTGGCGTGGCCCTGTGTCTGTAAATATTTGTAATGATTGGCTGGGTCTGGCGTGGCCCTGTGTTTGTAAATAGTTGAATGATTGACTGGGTCTGGCGTGGCCCTGTGTTTGTAAATATTTGTAATGATTGGCTGGGTCTGGCGTGGCCCTGTGTTGTAATGATTTGCTGGGTCTGGCGTGGCCCTGTGTTGTAATGATTGGCTGGGTCTGGCGTGGCCCTGTGTGTGTGTTGAATAATTAACGAATATCGGTGGGGGAAAATGGAATATTACAACAGTCTAAAATCTATTACAACATTCTAAAATCTATTACAACAGTCTAAAATCTATTACAACAGTCTAAAATCTATTACAACAGTCTAAAATCTATACTATAGTTTAAAATCTGCTAATTTTTGTAAAGTGATACATTATGTCCTTTCAGCTTCTTGACAAATATGATCACACGAATGAACTGGCTCTAACTTTGCTGGCTGGACTTGGCTCATTCGCTCACACCATGATTCAGGAAGGTCAGTTCTCAACTGTTGTACTTTTGCCACATCAGATTGTTATTATTATGTGGCCGAGAACATGTGGCAGAGAACATGTGGCAGAGAACATGTGGCAGAGAACATGTGGCAGAGAACATGTGGCAGAGAACATGTGGCAGAGAACATGTGGCAGAGAACATGTGGCAGAGAACATGTGGCAGAGAACATGTGGCAGAGAACATGTGGCAGAGAACATGTGGCAGAGAACATGTGGCAGAGAACATGTGGCAGAGAACATGTGGCAGAGAACATGTGGCAGAGAACACGTGGCAGAGAACATGTGGCAGAGAACATGTGGCAGAGAACATGTATGCACTTACTTCTGTATCTGCTGTCTTAAGCTTTTGTTTGGATGATAACACCTGGTTCCAACCGTCACTCGTATTACAACCATCACTAACAGACAGCTCGAAGGGCAACAATCAAATAACAGACAGCTCGAAGGGCAACAATCAAATAACAGACAGATCGTAGGGCAACTATCAAATAAGAGACAGCTCGTAGGGCAACAATCAAATAAGAGACAGCTCGTAGGGCAACAATCAAATAAGAGACAGCTCGTAGGGCTACTATCAAATAACAGACAGCTCGTAGGGCAACAATCAAATAAGAGACAGCTCGTAGGGCTACTATCAAATAAGAGATAACTCGCCGTTGTATACAGCCTTTGATCGCTACGCATCAGCTACTGTGATTCACTTTCACTCGTCTGGTACTTGGCTCTGGCTGTCACTGCTCGTCTCTCTCTACCGCCCAAGTCAGTCCCTTTGCCTTACTGCTCTACCCTCTACCGGTAGTCTCGCTGCTCTCCGACTGTGTTATCCCCGACTGCCCTCTCCTCCTGTCCGACTGAGTTCTACCCAGTCTCCACTAAAGGTCCCCTTTTATGAGTCCCTGAATTAGTCGTGGCGTCTCTAGAGGTTCCTTCCCAAGGCAATCCTTTTCCGCATCTGTGCTACGAACAGTGTCTACACCCTGGTACTATGATTAACTTCACCACATCCTTCCTTCTTCCTGGACAGCCTCTGCATTCCAACGCCTTCATTTATAGCTATACTGTCACAGAGACGGTCGTACGAGCCTCGTCCTGGTGCAGTCTGATACCCTACGACACTTGGTTAACCTTCGTGCCTGTGGGAATCCTCCATTAACCCGCGCTCCCCAATGTCAGGACTCGACTATATTGTAATCGTCTCCCTTGACCACCGACCCATGGTGCTTCGAGTCGTCACACATGCGATGTCACGTGAAAATGTCATTCACCAACAGTCACGCTCCTGATGTCACCCCCCCCCCAGATTCATGTGATGTTATTCACCAACAGCCCCCCCCAGATGTCACATGATGTCATTGACCAACAGCCACGCCCCCAGATGTCACGTGATAACAAGTCTGTTTGTGCAGCTGGCTATGAGTTTAAGTCTAAAACCGTTGTGTGAAATTTGATACATTGATTTGTTTTGTAGATGTGTTTTTGTAAATGAAGAAGATGCTTCTATGGAGAATAGAAGGCTACATGTTACTAGAACTACTTCATCGAAACATAATACTACTTGTTATTACTACCGCATTGAAACATAACATTACATGTTACTAGAACTACTTCATCGAAACATAATACTACTTGTTATTACTACCGCATTGAAACATAACATTACATGTTACTAGAACTACTTCATCGAAACATAATACTACTTGTTATTACTACTGCATTGAAACATAACATTACATGTTACTAAAACTCCTGGACTGAAACATAATAGTACTTGTTATTACTACTGCATTGAAACATAACATTACATGTTACTAGAACTACTTCACTGAAAAATAACATTACATGTTACTAGAACTACTGCGTTGAAAAAAAACACTACATGTTACTGAAACTACTGCATTGAAAAATAACACTACATTTTACTAGAACTACTGCATTGAAAAATAACACTACATATTACTAGAACTACTGCATTGAAAAATAACATTACATGTTACTAGAACTACTGCATTGAACAATAACATTACATGTTACTAGAACTTCTGCATTGAAAAATAACATTAGATGTTACTAGAACTTCTGCATTGAAAAATAACATTACATGTTACTAGAACTACTGCCTTGAAAAATAACATTACATGTTACTAGAACTACTGCATTGAAAAATAACATTACATGTTAGTAGAACTACTGCATTGAAAAATAACACTACATGTTACTAGAACTAATGGATTGAAGCGTCGGTTAACTAAAAACGATCAACTTACTCCCTTTGTATTGTTTGTTTAGTGGCCATAGAACGTCCCCGTATTAACTAATTCTCTTGACCAGGTTTATTGAAGAAGGCCAATGTTCAAACACGTGATTTCTCCCATCAACTTCGCTACCCAGACTACCCCGAGGCGGCCCAGCCGCTTCTGGCTGCCACATGGGAAACAAACAGCTTGGACGCTGTGGATGTTCTCATGGACCTTAAACCGGATATGAAAGTGTTATACGCCCCTGACAAGGATCTCATCCCCAATCCAGTTATTTTCAGGGTACGTTTCTCAAATATTGATCTTGGCACCAAATCTTGCAATCATTGTGTGTAGACATTTGCCACTAAATCTTGCAATCATTGTGTGTAGACATTTGCCACTAAATCTTGCAATCATTGTGTGTAGACATTGGCCACTAAATCTTGCAATCATTGTGTGTAGACATTTGACACTAAATCGTGCAGTCCCTGAGTGTAGACATTTGACACTAAATTTTGCACTCCTTTTGTGTAGAGTGTAGACATTTGCCACTAAATCTTGCAGTCCTTGTGTGTAACGAGAATTATAGCAGAGTATTATTTTTTAGCATTGTTTATAAAGTAAAACTGGAAATGTGTCAACTGCCAGCAGTTAAACAATGAATACACTTTAGTTAAAATTACAATAATGGGCGCCATTTTCCATTAAAGTTCGCCTTTGTTGGTGCCAACCGATTCAGTGCATTCTTGATTGCTAATTGAGTGGCGCGTTGGTTTTGGGCAACATGTGAGAGTGTCATAAACATACGTGTTTCTAGTTACATTGGTCTGTCGTTTAGTTTTGATTCTTATTTCCTTTGTGATACTTCGTAAGATATCGTGATTGCTTGATCAAATGATAAGAAACGATTTCAACTTCTGGATATAAGAACTGATGGGTCTAAGAACTGAAGGGTCTAAGAACTGATGGGTCTAAGAACTGATCGGTCTTAGAACTGCTGGGACTAAGAACTGCCTGGTCTTAGAAGTGCTTGGTCTCAGAACTGCTGCGTCTAAGAACTGTTGGGTCTAAGAATTGCTGGGTCTAAGAACTGCTGGGAACTGCTGGGTCTAAGAACTGCTCTTTCTAAGAAATTCTGAGGCTGGGGTCTAATTACTGGTGGGTCTAAGAACTGCAGGGTCTAAGAAACTGGTCCTGTGTTATAAAGAGATTTCCTTGCCACATCTAAATTTGCCTTTCACGTCTTTCACGTCAAGTACTCGTGGCTTAAACTAATACTAAAGTTGATTTATTGACTTAAGCATTTCAAAAGATTAAAATTATTATCAATTCCCCTTCGCAGCTACTGAGCAGCCCCTACAGACCAAAAGAGCTCTGTACGATACACCGTATCTTAGAGTGTGCTGACATGTCTATCAAGACTCACACAGGACAAACTCTTTTATTTCAAGCTATTTACACGGAAGAGCCGTTGAGTACCATCAATCTCCTGCTGGACAAGGGAGTTAATATCTCGGCCAGAGATTCCGTGGGAAGAACTGCCCGAGATTTTGCTGAAGCTCATTCGAGAAAGAAATATGTCAAGGTCATTGACAGCTTCGTCATAAAAGCTATTAAAAATAAAGATTTCCCTTTAATTGAGCGGCTTTTATTGGAAGGCTATGACCACGTGACCAACATCTCTGACGCGTCAGGCAAGTCGTCTGTGGACATTGCCAGTAAATATTCTAGTCCACAAGTCTTTGAGATCGTGAGGCTTGGCGCTGAGATACAGGTAACATCATATTATGTCCCTTCATCTTAAACATAGTAGAAATAGGACATAAGACACATTGAATAACGACACAACATAATCAGAAGAACGTTTTGACTAAAAGACTGTATCATTATTTTCTTCATTATAGTATCCTTTATTTTAAAATCATTTTTGTAACTTAAATTCCTCCTTTTGAGAGCCAAAACAAAAACTTCAAAAAGCTTATATGATCACCCTTATGAGTGATGCAAGGTGTAACAATTAAACGATTAATCATCCACTTATTCATTATATGATGGTCAAATCAAAGCAAAGATACATTTACTTCAGGGGGACATTTCAAAAACGGTTTAACCTTCGTTATTTATTCTTTTCAGACTTCATTAAAAGCAGTAAAAAAAAATAATTAAATATTTGTTTCAACAAATTTAGCTTTTTGTAAAACGGGTGTTTCAAGCGGTGGACGACGGTAACCATGACAACCTAAACAAGCTTCTCGCCTGTAAGAAGTACGCTGCTGGCAGAGATCATTGTGGCCGTACACCACTTATGAAGGCTGTCCTACACCAACGGCGTAGTATGGTCCTCAAACTAGTCACTGAATGTACCTTTACAATAAATTTACCGGATTCGGTGAGTACCCTTGAGATTAATGAATCAAATTATTAACTGAAATTAAGTTTGACAGTTCTCTCAATTCAATTATTGAAAAAAAACAACGTAGAAGTCCACTTTCTCCAATTAAAATACGTTGTTAGTTTGTAGGTGGTGCCGTGGCTTAGAAGTGCATGCCGCGGCACTGGGCGTTGCTCTTGAACGGCGACTCACCAAGTCAAACATTCGTTAGGGCTGCAGAATATGGGAAAAGTTAGGAAACCCTACGAGGTCATTCATCAAACGCCAGCTGTTTAGGACAAATGGGATTTTTTGTAATGGTCTTCTAAGATATTGAAACATAAACCAGATTATTGAAAGTTTTTTTTTTTTTCTCATTTTTTTTTTAAAATTTAGAGTATTAAATTCTAGTTAGCGAATCAAATCTTTTTTACTTATTAAGTTCTGACATGGAGGATTTTTTAAAAAAATCCTTTATATTAATATTAATTTCGTTTTTGTTTGTGTGTTTCTGTGTTTGAGGCAAAAATCTTCGGACCGCTTTCCGTCATCCAATCCAACTGAAACTTGGCACATTGACTCGTCGATAACAGCACATTCTTTCAAATTTTCAGCCCAACCCCAACCCCAAAAATCAGTTTCTCCTGTTTTTCAAGGAGGGGATGAATCAAATATGATTTTTGTTCCATGGTTGCGTGTATTTTGTTGTTGAGATTTATTGTGTAACTGTTGGTATGTGCTTTGTATTTGTGGTGTATTTGGGTCTGCAGTAAAAAAATCAAATTTATTTTTGAAGTGGACAATGAACTATCAAACGTCTTTTACGCCAAAAGTTGAACCATTTCCATATCCATAACAGATTCCTAAGAAATAATAAATCATGTACAATTACATAAATGCCAACAAAAATGCATATTGAAGGAATTATACGAACAAATGTGTTGTTAGAGGTTATTATTTATTGTCTTGGTAACTTCCGCACAGCTTGGCCGGACAGTCCTGCACTATGCTTATCTCTTCATGGATGACCCGGAAATGATCATTTTACTGCAGAGATGTGGAGCGCGCACTGATCTGACTGATGTGGTGAGTGGAACAAATAGTTCCTAGATTACATGTTATGAATATGGGGGAAAGTTATAGCTTAAATTGATGACACCTTTATTATATGGATTTATTAAACTTTAAAGGATTTGAAAATACGAGTCAGTGGTGTATGAGTGTGTGTGTGTGTGTATATATAGGCTATGTGTGCGTGTGCATGAGTTTGTGAGTGAGTGAGAAGTCCTTTTTGACCAGGTTGCAAGCTAATCGAAATAGTGACATCTTGCTTATTACATTATGCGTTAGATGGATCAGTTGTGTTCAATTTTGGAAATTCACTTTGTCATTCAGTCCAAACAGTTTAAAACATTGAATGTAACTTAAGTTGCGTTGTCGTTGTGTTACAGTGTGGTCGTTTACCACGTGACTACAGCACGTTGTCATGTGGAGTAGATGAACATCGACGTTTACAGAGAGAGGTTCTGGACGCAGACCTAGACATCTACACATACAGGACAGACTTTGAGAACTCCTTCCGCGCTGCTATAAAGGTCATTTTGTGTTTAGTATCTGTATCATTCTCCTAGCTCTTTCTCCCTCCCTCTCTCTCTCTCTCTCTCTCTCTCTCTCTCTCTCTCTCTCTCTCTCTCTCTCTCTCTCTCTCTCTCTCTCTCTCTCTCTCTCTCTCTCTCTCTCTCTATCTACACATACAGGACAGACTTTGAGATCTCCTTCCGCGCTGCTATATAGGTCATTTTGTGTTTAGTATCTGTATCTTTCTCCTATCTCTTTCTCCCTCCCTCTCTCTCTCTCTCTCTCTCTCTCTCTCTCTCGCTCTCTCTCTCTCTCTCGCTCTCTCTCTCTCTCTCTCGCTCTCTCTCTCTCTCTCGCTCTCTCTCTCGTTCTTTTTTCCTCTCTCCTTTCCCGCTCTCTTTCTCCTTTATTCCTTTTTCTTTCTCCATCTCTTTCTCTCCTTTCTCTCTCTCTCTTCCTCTCACTCTCCCTTTCTCTCTCTCTCTCTTTCTCTCTCATTATTATTATTACTACAGAGGTCTTATATAGCGCAGTACCCCAGCCAAGGGCTGGCCTCACCGCGCTTCACAAAAAAATATTGGGAAAAAAGCTTTCGAAGGGGTGACTAGACTGAAAGAAGTTCGGTTAGAGAGGAAGGACAGGAATCCGAGAAAAAAGTTGTGACAGAGAACAGACAGTTTGTAATCAATGCGTGGATGTGTGCTTGTAAAGGTAGCCAATTAAGTGAGTGAAGTAGTGGAGTGGCATGATCTCTCCCTTTCTCCCTCTATCTCTTTCTTCCCCCTCTCTCTATCGCTCTCTCTCTCCCTCCCCCTCTCTCTATCGCTCTCTCTCCCTCCCCCTCTCCATCTCTTTCTACCCCTCTATCTATCTCTTATAATATCTCCCACCCCTCTATCTTCCTTCTTTCCTCTATCTCTTTCTCTCAGTCAATCTCTCCTTCTCTCTCTGGCTCTCATTCTCAAACGTTTATCCATCTGCGCCCCCCCCCCGGTCTCTAACCCATTGTCTTTCATATTATATTTATTTCCCTCTCAGGCTCTCTTATCCTCTTATTTCCTCTTTCTCTTTCTGCTCTCTTGACATTTTCTTGCCAACAAGTTATTTTTGAATGAATAGTTTGGAGCCCGACTTCAAAAATACGCCCATACACTATCCAGGGAGACCAACTCATAATAACAAATGAATGTAAAAACATGCTGCAACATGACGTGACATAAAAACATTGACCTATCCAACCCACAGGCAGCTGACCTGCCCCTCGTCGAGCATCTGATCGCTGGTCTGTCACGGCACGGTGACGTGGCACGCTACAGCCAGTTCTTGTTTGACTGTGTTGATCTGTGCAGGGAAGACATCGCCATTTTCCTGCTCAAATCTGGTTTTCGAACAGACATTTGGAGACAGGTAATGAACTCTCCAAGTCAAAGTCAGGCGTTTACTTCAGGCGATCTTCGTGGGAACATTGTTCATGGGGGAATGACTTTGACAAGCACATTCGATGCACTATTAATCTGGTTTTCGAACAGACATTTGGAGACAGGTAATGAACTCTCCAAGTCAAAGTCAGGCGTTTACTTCAGGCGATCTTCGTGGGAACATTGTTCATGGGGGAATGACTTTGACAAGCACATTCTATGCACTATATATATATATATATATATATATATATATATATATATATATATATATATATATATATATATATATATATATATATATATATATGAGTGTTTGGTGCGGTTGTATTGATATATAAGTGAGTGCTACAGTTTTATTGATATATGAATGTGTGACATGGTTGTATTGATATATTATGAGTGTGTGGTATAGTTGTATTGATATATTATGAGTGGGTGGTACAGTTGTATTGATATAAGAGCAGGCAGTACAGTTATACCGATACAGGAGTGGTTGGTACACTTATAGTAGAAAAATTATCAGACGGTACAAGTCTAATGAGAAATGATGGGATTGTTATATAGAGAAACGAGCTGGCGGTACAGTTCTATTGGGAGACGGGCAGGCGGTACAGTTCTATTGGGAGACGGGCAGGCGGTACAGTTCTATTGGGAGACGGGCAGGCGGTACAGTTCTATTGGGAGACGGGCAGGCGGTACAGTTCTATTGTGAGACGGGCAGGCGGTACAGTTCTATTGGGAGACGGGCAGGCGGTACAGTTCTATTGGGAGACGGGCAGGCGGTACAGTTCTATTGTGAGACGGGCAGGCGGTACAGTTCTATTGTGAAACGATCGGGTGGTACAGTTCTAGTTTGCATGAGGACGTTCCGAAACTCTTGGTCATCTTGCCGTTATAGCTTTAATGGAGTCACGTCCCCTCTGACCGCCACCTAAACAGAACTGTAGGGTGGACGTTATTTTGAATATGATTAAGTGCGTTAATCATGCGAGACATAGACATTTCATGGAATTGTCATAATGATGGAAAATAAATATATTTTAACTTAATTTAAAGCTGTAGATGAGGTCAGGTGTTGACGTGCAATTTACGTTGAAATAATTGCACGGTAAGGAGGAACTTGATGTCAAATTAAACAACAAAAAATGATCTTCTGCCTGTCATCTGGCACAATTACCTGTACCCTATCGTATCACACGCCCTGTTTGTCTGACACGTCCTGTTTGCTTGACACGTCTTGTTTGTCTGACATGTCCTGCTTGTCCGCCATATTGTTGTTGTGAAATAGATCGAGCTCATTCATATTTCATGTGTTTATGTAAAACCGTCTGAACAAGTGACCTTGCCTTGGTGACCTCTTGACTTTGACAAGCACATTCTATGCACTAACTTTTCATTTTATCCGTACATGTTTTAATCATCTATTTCCAAAACTAGTCATTGTACATTACAGGACACACTCTGGTGCTAGTTTAACAATTACTTGAATTGCATTGAAACTATTCATTGTTTAACTGTTCTTTTATTTCCTATCACCAGAATCCGCTATGCATAAATCAGATTCCGGTGTGTGCCAGTCGGGAGTGTGGTCACTCCATGGTCAGCTTAAAGCAGAGGGCAGTGGAGACAGGATGTACCAGAGTATCAAAACTCATCAATGCCTTAACAGTTGATACCGTCTCGTAACACCTTTAAAATCTAAGCCAGGTTACTACAGTTATTGGCATGTAGTGCTCTGGTCTACTCCACCACATCCGTCTGTTCAGACATCATCATCAATGGCATTACAGCCAATCTAGGGCTCTGGTCTGCTCCACCACATCCTTCCGTTCAGACCGATCCCTGGCTTTTCGTCTCAATTTGCGTCTCCCCATCTGATGTAAATCCGTCTCCATATCAGGCTACCACAATCAGCAGCTGTTATTCGACTTTAGAATGTTAACATGTTTTCATACTAACTAAACTAGCACATTTGTATATATTTTTATTCACTTTTGATTTTGTGACACCCCACCCCCCCCCCTCGTTGAACCCTTGTGACCCTCAGATTTTCATTAAAAAATGTATACTTTGTTAACATGCAATTGTACAAATATTATTCCAAAACAGCTCAATAAAATTAATTAATATGTAATTTATTCATTTATTATGTAATTATCATTCTCAAATTTCTTTTAAATATAAACACAACATGGACGCATAATAAACCATGTAATCTGATGATGTGTAACATTTCAATTACTATGTACATATCTAAAATCATGCATCATAAAATTAAAATGGTAACTGATTTTGTTTTTGTTCTTGTTAATGACATCTGTCATACAAGTTACACGACTTGTCAATGACATCTATCGTACAAGTTACACGACTTGTTAATGACATCTGTCGTACAAGTTACACGACTTGTCAATGACATCTGTCGTACAAGTTACACGACTTGTCAATGACATCTGTCGTACAAGTTACACGACTTGTCAATGACATCTGTCGTACAAGTTACACGACTTGTTAATGACATCTGTCGTACAAGCTACACGACTTTTTAATGACATCTGTCGTACAAGTTACATGACTTGTTAATGACATCTGTCGTACAAGTTACACGACTTGTTAATGACATCTGTCGTACAAGTTACACGACTTGTTAATGACATCTGTCGTACAAGTTACACGACTTGTCAATGACATCTGTCGTACAAGTTACACGACTTGTTAATGACATCTGTCGTACAAATTACAAGACTTGTTAATGATATCTGTCGTACAAGTTACACGAATATTTCTAGTATTACCCGTCAAAAATGATGAGTGTGGTGTAAAAATAACAAAAAAAAATTTAAAAAAAAAAAAAAAGAATTAATGTAAAAAAAAAATAATAATAATAATAATAATAATTAAAAAAGGGAATTAATGTGGAGAGTGTTAAAGGGGACGTAACTACATAAAGTGAAAATATTATAATGGTCCAAATGTTTTCTCTGTAGCACACAAATTACTTTATTGGTGTGTTATGAAAGTAAAAGTATTGAAAAAGTATTTTAAAGGGACTACAACCAGTAGCTTAGCCAGGTTTCGATGCTAGGTTGGAGCCAGGGTTGCCAACCGTCCGTAAATTTACGGACAGTCCGTAAAGATGTGTCGTAAAATTGCCTGTCCGTAAAATTCCGTTAAAAAATTAAGACGTCCGTAAAAAAAATCGACAAAACGAGGAACCTCAACGTTTAAAAAAAACCAGTAAATCATGTTCGTGATATCTAGTTTCGTGGTTTAAATTTTAATTTTTAAATTGTTTTAGTTGCATCCCGCGCTCTATTAATAAACTGTAAGAGCTTTCTGGACAGCTAGGCTCGCGCGGCGAGACGCATCGCGGCAAGATGGACTTGTTTAGACAGATCGTTAGTCGTTACGTCACAATTACGCATGAATTATGACGACATAAATATAAAAATAGTATCTGTTTTTTAAAAAATGGCGGAGAAGATGAATACAAGGGAAGACGATAGCCGCAGTGAAAACTGTGAAATAAACGAAAATGCGGATAAAATTATTGTTAAAAAAGCTAAAGTGAACAGAAAATGCTATTTTTAACCTACATGGATTGCAAACGGCGAACTTAAGGACTGGATATCAACGGACAATGATTCCAAATATAACGCTGTATGTCCGTGCTGTAGAAAGATATTTAGCGTTGCATCTGGTGGTGTACGGGACGTTCGCAGCCACGGTACAAGCGCACAACATATTCAGGCAATGCTGGTGGAATGTTGCAGTTCTTGACTAAGGATACAAAAACTATCTCCTGTAACTGCTCACAACAAACAGGTAACAGAATGTGAATTAAAAGTGGAAAATTTTGTCGCAAGAAAAAACTTGCCACTAAGTTTAATGGACGACATCTCGGAAAATGTTGCAGATTGGTTTCCTGATTCAAAAATCGCTAAAGATTTGAGCTCTTAACGAACAAAGGGATCTATGATGATTAAAAATGGTATTGGCAAACTGAACAAAGAAGATATGTCCACTAAGTTGAGATCATGTCCTTTTACTCTGTTGGTTGACTAATCAACTGATATATCAACCACAGAAACAATGGCCATGGTGGTGATTTACTTCGATATTGAAATTGGTAAGGTTCAATATAGATTGTATCGTTTAGTTGATTTAAACGAAGCTAGAGCAGAGTTCATTTTTTCTGCAATCAGGGCATGTCTGGACGAAGATAAAATACCACTTGCCAATGTAATGGCACTTGGAACTGATGGAGCTAACGTAATGATTGGAGCCAAAAATTCCGTGCTTTCACGTTTCAGAAGTGTACAACCAAATATATTTCATATCCACTGCACATCCCATGTAGCTGCTCTATGTGCCGCTCTATGTGCCGCTGATGCATGTAAAACATTTCCCAAATTTATTGAACAGCTATGCAGAGACATTCACAGCCATTTTTCACATAGTTGCAAAAGATTACAGCTGTACAAAGAGTTTCAAGAGTTCGTGGAAGCAGACACTCTACGATTATTGCAGCTGTGTTCCAGGAGATGGTTGAGCCTGTTGGAGTGTATTAATCGTATTGTTAACCAATATGATGCACTTTCAAGCTACTTTCAATCAAGTGATGAGTGTGACCGGTTGGTTACAGTGGATAGAATTAGCACTCAATTGCAAAATCCTGTCGTTAAATGTTATTTTTTGTTTTTGCAAGCAGTGCTGCCTATGTTTACTCAGTTCAACAAAATGTTTCAATCCAATTCTCCGATCTTACCAGATTTATATGCAGAGCCAAATCAACTGTTGAAAAGTGTGTTGGGTTACTATATACGACCACAGGTTCTGTTGTTAGTTGAAGACTTAACGAGTTTTGATCACCTGGAAAGTACAAACTTTAAATCACGCGATAACATATTCATTGGTTATCAAACTAAACTACAGCTGCAAACAGTAGATGATCCTTCGACTGTTGCAAAGTTTTATGTTGATGTTCTTGCATTTTATACCAATGCAGTCAGTGCAATCCAAAAAAGAATGCCTATTAGCAACAGAGTGCTGAAGCTCATGTCAGTACTAAAGCCCACTAACAGAATATCGGTGGAACAGTCGGAAATTTTGGAACTGGCCCAGCTTTTTACACAAATTGTGTCTCCAGCAGATTTTGATTGTTTAGAGGCCGAGTTAATTGACTACCAAATTGCGGATTTAAGCAATGTCAAGGCCGACGGAGGTTATGATGCTTTCTGGCATCACATTGGACAAATGACTAGAAATATCGAAAACAAAGAGTACAGATTTCCGCTCCTTTCGAAGTTTGCACAAACAATGTTGGCGCCTCCACATAGACCAGCAGAAGTAGAACGCGTTTTTTCTGCTGTTTGTTTATTGAAAACCAACTTGAGAAACAAATTGTCTACTCCAATGTTGGAAAGTTTACTGACTGTAAGAAATGGACCGGGAAAAATTACTCCCAAAATGATGGACAGTGTAAATGTTTCTATGTATGATCATAAGCAGGAGGAATTAAACACTGTCACTGATGATGAATGTCATACTCATACAATAAACTAACGTTATAAAATATGAGCATGGTAATAGAGACGTACTCATATGGATACTTTACATTTTTTAGCCACAATGCTTGGATTATGCTTCATATTCGTTCGTTTTAAGGTCAACATTTTATGTTAAATGTGTCCGTAAAAAAATTGTTTTGTCCGTAAACTTTGTTGTGAGTTCTTATATTTGTCAGTAAATGTTATTTTATTGAGTTGGCAACCCTGGTTGGAGCCAAAATTATATTTTTAACAAAGACCTACACACTAAAGTAACAAGTGCAAACATTAAATTATGACCATAATGGGTTTAATTTTGTATTTGACATGTTGGGGAAAAAATTGATATAAATGCATGTGTCGGTAGTAACAACTTTTCTTTATTAAAGGTGCTGGGACTGTGACTTTGATTGGGGGGGGGGGGGGGTTAACCCACACACACACAATATATTTTTAAAAAATAAATTAAAAGTACAATGCATTTCGGCGCATACTGAAATGTAGTTTTTCATCATTCTAAACTTAATCGGAGATCAACATAGGGGCCGTCGATAAAGTACGCCACGCTATTTTTAACCATTTCAACAGTTGTCACAGTTATTCATTGAAGCAGTAACTCAATCTAGATTGAATTTGAAAACAAAAATTGCAAAAATTAGACTAGACAATTATATAATAAACATCATTTATCTGCTGCTTTTTCATTTACAAAATGAGACATCAAGTTTTAGATAATTTCCGATTATGCAATCTTTTTTACACAGGATAAGTAGTAGATTAGCGAGACTTGACCTCACCCAGTGATTAAATAATAAAAGGAAACAAAACAATTCGACTATAAAAAGACTAGATTGACAAATGATGTGACAAACACTTGTGCTATATTGAACCTGTTTATTTTGGGCCCGTGAATTATATTTAATTCAAAAATATTCACTGGACTTCATCTATCCATGTCGAAGTGAAGTGTTCATCCATAGTTACGACTGGCATCAATCTTTCAGCATCATCGTTTCCTGGAAGAATAATTGCAGACAGATAAACTTCATCCTCATCTAGCCACTCAACATCCTCTGAATGTGCATTTTCTCGTCTGGCAATAACTGCCATGAGTTCTCTTTGTCTTCTAGCAGTGATTCTCAAAGAACGGATGAGTTTTATCTGATTTGATTCTGGAACCGTTTGGGTTGGCACATTCTCCTGAGCCCGAGCTCTGTGTTTACCTGCATGTTTCTTTGACATTGTTTGTGAGGCAAAGTATAAGTGACATACTTCGAAAATTCGATCAAGTAAGCTGGTCTGCAAAGATGGACAGTAAAGATCATTTAGTTGTACTTTGAAAACTCCTGTTGATCTCGGCAAGGCTATACGTAAAACAAGGCGTCGTAACAGCATACTAGCGCTCCTAGCGAGAGGAATCGTGAACAACACATTCAGGAAATACGCATTTCTTCATGCTATTTTGACATAAAACTAATTCAAATGTTTCACATTTTAAAAAATTATTTTTAAAGCTATTAAATTCTACTAAAAAAATAAAAAAATAAAATAGAAATAAACATTTTTTTAAAAAAATGTTTGACGTCACACATGGGCTGAACCCCCCCCCCTGTCACAAACTGTCACACTTTCTTACATCCCCTCCCCCCTCTGGAGCGTGACGTACTTTACGGATGGCCCCCATAAGAGATTTCAGTGTCAGTGTAAATTT